CACAGCCCGTACCGGCCGTATCCTATAGCGATGCCGGCGTGCAACACGACATTCAAACCACTGCCGTGCAGTCGCTGAGCATTTCTGTTGTTCAATCCGAGGACATTGAGCCAACGCCTGTAGTACTGAATGTGACCTCGATCGTTTCGACAAACATCGAGCCTGTCTTGGACCCTGTTCCTGAACCGGCACCGCTTACAATGTCAACTCTCGTTTCAGAGGATGTTGAACCTGTACAGGAGCCAGAGTCTGAACCAGTTCCCCTTGGTCTTTCAGGCCTCGTTACCGAGGATATTGTACCTGTTTCGGAACCCGAACCTGAGCCAGTACCCCTCATCTTGTCCAAGCTCGTTTGTGAGGACGTCGAACCAGTCTTGGAACCTGTGCCAGAACCAGCACCGCTCACCTTCTCGCAATGTGTTTCTGAACACATTGAGCCTGTTCTGGAACCTGTTCCCGAACCAGCGCCTCTGACTGTCGCGTCTTTCATTTCAGAGCACATTGAGCCGGTCCTCGAGCCAGAGCCACCGGCACCTGAACCGATTCCCCTCAGCGTATCGGGCCTTGTTTCCGAGCAAGTCGAGCCTCGCGCTGATCCAGAGCCCGAGGTCCGCCCGCCGCCAACACTCAGCATACCAACCATCCTTGCCCAGGACATTAAGCCGGATGCTAATGTGTCAGCAACTGTTGACCTTGCCTTTTCGCATGTTCTCTCGGAACAAGTTGAACCGGTTGAAATACCAGTGGAAGCACCTACTGTGGTCACAGTGGTGGAGGCACCGAAGGAAATCAAGGAGAAGGCGCTGCCTGTCGCCCTCGGCTTCTCGTCGATTGTATCAGAGGATATGGAACCACGAGTCGAACCTACGCCCTTGCCGGCGCCGTTGTCACTCTCGCCTATCAAGGCGGAAGTTTTGGAGCCCCGTCAGGAACCAGAAGAACCTTCACCGGCTCTTGCTGTTTCATCCATCCGGTCACACGACTTCGAGCCCGTTGAGCTCCCGCCTGTTCCCTTGCCAGCATTGTCGGTATCTTCAGTCCAGGCAAGCGCCATCGAGCCCGTTGAGGAAGCACCCGCTCCTTTGCCGACGTTGTCGATCTCCTCGCTCCAAGCGAACGATATTGAGCCTATCGAGGAACCGATTGCTCCCTTGCCAACACTGTCGATCTCCTCAGTCCAAGCGAGTGACATTGAGCCTGTCGAAGAACCGCCTGCTCCTCTGCCTCCCTTGTCGATCTCCTCAGTCCAAGCGAGTGACATTGAGCCTGTCGAAGAACCGCCTGCTCCTCTGCCTCCCTTGTCGGTCTCCTCAGTCCAAGCGAGTGATATTGAGCCTGTCGAAGAACTGCCGGCTCCTCTGCCGCCACTGTCTATCTCATCAGTTCAGGCGAGTGACATCCAACCTGTCGAGCTGCCAGCTACTCCCTTGCCACCGCTCTCCATCTCTTCAATCAAGGCGAGCGATATCGAGCCAGTTGAACGACCCATCGCCTCTCTACCGGCGCTCTCACTCTCGTCGATACAGGCGAATGACATTGAGCCTGAGGAAAGACCATTGACACCACCCCCTGCTATGTCCGTTTCACAAATTCAGCTATTGGATGTCGAACCAGAGAATGTTCCCGCTACTCTGCCGCCGACTCTCTCTGTTTCAGAAATGCTGGCGCAAGAGATCGAGCCTCTCGCCCTGGAGCCTGCTCTCAGCCTTCCTCCATCAATGGCTTTTGCTGACTGGCAGTCACTGGCTATCGAGCCTCCCTTGAATCGCAGTCCGAAGAGAAATGCTTTCATTATACCCAATGACTCACAAACCGACGCACCTGTTGAGGGAGGCCTCCCACGGTCTACTCCCGAGCAAAAGGCCGACTCACAGCAGAAGGTACTATTGGCTACTGTGGACCAGGAAGTGCAAACAGCATTGACCTCGGAGGCTATCGACATGCTTTTGATGTCAGGAACTCACCAGTCCCACACTCGTGAATTGGAGAGGACAGACTCGTCTTTGAGTACCGGCAGTCTCTCTACTATCAGGAGGCACCGGAGTTTCCAGGAGATCCCTGAAAGCATCGTTTCTTCAAAGGGCAAGATGGCGGATCACAGTACTAGTGTTAGCGAAGGAACAACAACCGTGAGGAGACCAAATAGCTCTGCTAGTAGCAGGGCTTTCATAACCGATGTTCCACCCCTACCTTCTAACCACAGGGAGGCTATTGAAGCTGCCAGAACTGGCTCCTCAAGTGGCAACCAACCAATGACTGGTCTCATGGGGCCGCCATTATTCTCAGCCTCTGCGCTCAGGAATCAAAGTCAGGGATTGCGACCGCGAACTCCCAATGGCGATACACGCCCCATGTCTCCCATGTCTTACGTGTCTGGCCATGGCACGCCCACACCCCGTGCCATGGACAGAGCTGGTTCCGCACATGGAACTATGGCTTCCGGTGTTCATTCACCGTCTCGCTTGACGCAGCATAGCCGCAAGTCATCAGTCTCCTCTTTTGTTTCTGAAATGGACACGCGGTTCCAGATGCAACAAAACGGCGACTTTGATCCACATGGGTTCGGCACGGGTACCGACCCTCGCATGATCCAGGCTATCACCCAGACCATGATCGGTGAATATCTGTGGAAGTATACTCGCAAGGCTGGTCGTGGAGAGATGTCCGACAACCGGCATCGCAGATATTTCTGGGTTCATCCTTACACACGAACCTTGTATTGGAGTGATCGTGACCCCTCAGCTGCGGGTCGCAGCGAATTGAGGGCGAAGAGCGTTCCTATCGAGGCTGTACGGGTTGTGACGGATGATAATCCTATGCCTCCTGGTTTGCACCGCAAGAGTCTGGTGATCATCTCGCCCGGCAGGTCAGTCAAAATTACCTGTACAACGGGGCAGCGGCACGAAACATGGTTCAATGCACTCTCTTATCTGCTCCTTCGGACCAACGAAAACGGCCACGCAGACGCAGAGGAAATAGCCGGGCATATCACGCGCGATGACATCAACGATTTCAACCCTCAATACTCGAGGCAAGCGCCAAGCGGCTCCCGTGGCGCACCTTCGCTGTCGTCCTACAACTCCAGGTCGCTTCGTGTTGACTCGCCGGCCCTTGACATGTCAATGAATATTCCGACCCTTACGCCCAACAGGCAAAGCGCCCAGAATCGCCCATCCGTCGGCACTCTTAGTCGGATCAGTGGCTATTGGAAGGATAGCAAATTTGGCAGCATGAGAGGCACCAGGAGCGTTTCTGGTCGAGACACATCTCACGGCATCTACGAACAGAGTGAAGTTGAGGACAGCGCTGAGGATGTGAGACAAATGATTGAACAGCAAGACCGAGAAGCCGATCGCCTTGAGAACGTCAGAGCTTGTTGTGATGGTAAGTAGTCTCACGTTATGTTATCAGGACGTTTTCGTGGTATGGTATGCTAACGTTTACATAGGGAAACATGATGTTGGCACGTTGACTAGTGGTTCTAAGCGCGGCCACAATCACCGTACACACCATCACCATCACCATACACACAGAGGGTCTTCGAGGGGACCTTCAAGAGGACCTAGTACTACACCATCACGAGCTGAAACCCTACGATCTGCGGCATGAACAGTTTTGCAAACTCCAGTTTCGTCGGATAGTCTCTAGCCGAAGGGTTACCGTTACCAAATCACAAATCAGATTGCCACCTTAATTGGCGACATTTTCTTCTTATCGATCGCTTCAGCCACCATTCTGCTTTTAACAAAACACAACCGACCATACACTACGGAATTTATCATGACGTTGATGATCACTTCATCCGCTGTTTTCTTACTTGTTTAGCCTGCGCTTCTGTCCAGAGACCCCTTGTGACCCATCATTGCATGGTGCCCTCGTGGGTTTTCTGCAAGTCGCTGCACCTTGTACTACCAAACTCGGGCTTTCTTCAGCTTCCTCGCTGTCTCTTATCTATTCATGTAGTCCTTTTTGGATTGGCTTAGGTTCTTGGGTTTGCGGGCGTTTTTTTCGTTCAGAAGCCGTGGAATTCTGCTACTCTTCGACAAATTGCTTGAAGGGATGAAACTGGATGTGGAAAAGAAAGAGTTGCGGGAAGAGGAGGACTCAAAGGGAAAATTGTCTGCGTTACTGTTTTTCTGGCTTCCCAAGGAGATGGGGGAATGGGAAGGAGATGGGGGTTTGGGGGGAGGTTCAGTGGAATAAGTTGAGGTACGGTGGTGCGAGCGATAGCTGGAACGCAGTATTTAATAGCAAGACATTTTGACTACACGCACTCTTGTCCTCCTGCATCTGTGTGGTTGTGATAATATAAGTTCAAACATAGGTAGACCTAACAAAACACATCACACCATCTAAGCAGCGATTTTCTTGTAGAGGCTCAGGAGGGTAGATACCCAGGCAAGTACCGCATCTGCTTGGGTTGGTGACAATTTAAAAGTGTCTGGCGAAACCAAGATGAAAGGTAAAATGGGTAACACCTCACGAGCTGATGTAATCATCAAAGTACCTCTATCGATCGAATACTACAAACGCGTATCACATGTATGGGGGTTTGAAGCGCGTACCCAGTTGAGCAAGTGTGTTAGCATCTGCTTTGCGAGTCAAGCCTTAATTGGTTGGAATCCAGCTGAAAGAAGGGGCAAACTTGTGCCAAGGATTTGTCAGCTGCATGCGGTCTGCTTCGGTCTGGGAGCTTCTGTTGAATATGACATAATCCACCGTATCGATTGGCGATATCGATGGTTCTTATCGGGCAGATGATGGATCGTTGACCACTTTACCCTTCCGTCGCGTCTCGCCTCGACTAAGATCCTGCACACAAGTCATACGAACCCTTCCGCCCGCCTCAAACAACCATCCCCAAAATTCTTGATCACTCCTAAAACCGTCAAATTCAGCGGACTTGATATCCCTTCCCATATCGTCACCGGGACTTCACAATGGCGGACACCGAGCAACCACCAACAGCACCAACAGCACCCGAACCCGCAACAGCGACCCCAGCCGCCCCCATTGCTCCAGTCGCAATCTTCAAGAAGCGCGGCGCAAAGGGCAAAGCAAACCTGCGCAAACGTCCAGCCTCTCCTCCACCCGCAGCAAAAGACAGCGATGACGACTCGTCCGACTTCGAGTCCTCCGAGGACGAAGCAACAGGCCAGCGCATCAAGCGGAGGAAAAAGAACCACCACAGCGCAGCCGTCATGGCCTCGTCGCGAGACCACAACGCCAGTACCAACAGTGGAGTGACAAAAGAGGAGCAGATTCGGAGCAACACCATCTACGAAGCCGACCGGGACGCTGCGTTAAGGCTGGACGCAGCAAAGCAGGATGCTACGAAGGGGAGCAACTGGTTTGACGAGGACAACGAGAAGGAGGATCTGTCGGTGGGCAATCTGTTGGGGAGGACGCGGACCATGATGAAGACTAAGAAGAGAGTGGGAGGAGAGGATGATGCCCAGAACTCGGAACGAGAACCGGACGGGACATACAGAGGCCTGGCGAACCAGGCGAGTTACATACAAAAGAATCCGAACGCACCGAATCGCAAGGTTGGGCCGATCAAGGCACCGAGTAATATCAGGACGATTACTATTACTGATATGGCGCCCGATGTTTGTAAGGAGTGAGTAGTGTTTTCTGCCTTTCCCTTCCCCTTCTTTTCCGAATTGTATGGTCACAACTTCTTAGCTGCAACCTAAGCTAACTAAATGCCCAAAACAGCTACAAACAAACCGGCTTCTGCGGCTTCGGCGATAACTGCAAATTCCTCCACGCTCGCGAAGACTACGCACACGGGTGGCAACTCGACAAGGAATGGGAGAACGTAACCAAGGGCAAAAAGAACCTCCAGGGCACCGTCGTCGCCAGCGCCGACCGCCGTAACAAACCCAAGAACACTGCTGAAGAAGAAGAAGACGCCGAAGCAGCCGAAGAAGCTCTCCTGGAAAACATCCCCTTTGCGTGCATTATCTGCCGCGGTCCCTATTCGAATTCCCCCGTCGTCACACGCTGCGGGCATTATTTCTGCGAGGGATGTGCGCTGAAAAGGTACCGGAAAGACCCGAGCTGTGCGGCGTGTGGGAGTGGGACGAACGGGGTATTCAATGCGGCGAAGAGGTTGGCAAAGCTGTTGGAGAAGAAGAAAGCGAGGGCAGAGAGGTTGAGGAGGGAGGCGAGGGAGAGGGGAGAGGAGGTCAGTGAGGAGGAGGATGAAGGGGAGGGTGAGGAGGGGAGTGATTGAGAATGAGATGGCAGTGGTGTGGGACGAAGGAAAGCTGATGATGCAGAGACGGAGTGGGAGATAGACGACGTAGGGACGGCCAGCCAAATAATTGCGGCTTGTTACAGGGAGGTCTTGATAACACCAGGCGTTGTAAGCATACACAAGGTTCTGGTTTGATGAACTTTGTACCAGCTCAAGCAGTTTTAAACTGAATCATATGGCTGTTTACAAAACTCGACGCCATTTTTCTGTTGCATGCGAACAGGACCGGTTCTGGTGGAACACGGGCAAGTCTGGAGTATCTCAAAAAGGGACAATCCACTTCTGGTCCCAGCATCCAACATGTGGCTAAAAATAAGAAAAACAAACGAAAATGGAAGAAAAAATGAATTCATGGTGTCCTGGTAATTCGGGACATCGGGAATTGAGCCCGACGTGGGGGTCGAACCCACAACCTTGAGATTAAGAGTCTCACGCTCTACCGATTGAGCTAGCCGGGCGGTTTTTAACCGCCTTGGGATGTTGAAGGATACACTCGAGTCATGCATAAATATAGTACTAAGGAAGAAGCCCTGTACTTTCCTTTGTCAAAAACATTAGTGTTTGTTCTAAATACCGTCAACAGCGACTTCCAGGATCGAGTATTGTTGTTCCTCTTGAACCAGCCAGCCAAATTATCAATTCCGTAGTACTCCATATCCCATAATGCCCCATTACCCAACCCCAAACCTGCCCGCGTTGAAGAGCATAACAAAAAAGGAGAAAATGCTACCAGGGGCCCCAGTTGATGTCGAACGAGGTCAATAACACGATGTATGCTGCGGTCTGACTTAAACACCCATGGTAAAGTCGTGCTCGATTCCGGGGGTAACGCTGGCAATGAACTATGAGAGAAAATATCAGCATGTGCACAGCACGGTATCCGGATAAAACTGATAGACAAACCTTCAAAAAGACCACCAGGTATTGATCCACACGAATGGCCACCTCCTGGTCGGCGACGTCATGTGGAACCTCCTCCCACTCGGCATCTTCGCCGGGAGCAGCCTCGACGGCATTCGCATGCGCCCCGCTGACGTCCAACTTGTTGATCTCATCCACAAGACCCTCCATTCCCTGTTCGCTTCCCGAACCCTGGCCGGCTTTCATCTTCTCACGGCGAAGCTTGAGAGCGGCATCAGCCCGATCCAGCAACGTCTTCATGACGGAGGCGTGACGGCAGGGGTGCACACTGGCCATCTTGACGCTGTGAGAGAAGAAAGGAAAGTCTTCGAGTGTTACTGTCTTATCCTTGTAGTCGCCGACGATATCCTCCATCATCAGATGAGGGGGGAGCGGTTGCCCATTGGAGAGATAGCCTGACATATACATGCGTGGGCACTTGTAGGCGTTGGCGTAGGTAATGTAGAGGGTGTAGGTGCGCTTCCCACTGTAGGTAAGAGGCGGTCAAGTCAGCATATGTCCAAGTGGTGTCTCATAACTGCTGGGGACGTGGAGATGTTATCTTGCCTGTTCGAGTTATCGCCCTCAGCCCGGATGATGGCCTCATCGTCATCGTCGTCTTCCATGTCCGGAATGTCGTCCTCATCCACAACCTCTCTATCGCCAACGTTGCCGGCATCATCGACGGTGCGTACCTCTCGTACCCTGAGGGGCTGTGAGCTGGTCATGCTGCCGGTCCGCAACCAGCCGTCATCGTCGGCACCACCCTTGTTGCCCTCCACGAGGGCCTCCTCATGGCCCGCATCGCCAGCAAAGTCATCGTTCAAGCGTCGATGACAGGGAACATGTCGTGTAACGAGAAACTGCTTTCCGGGTGGCAGAAATGGGAGGCGCTTGCTAGGTGAATCGGCATCGGCCCATGACCACGAAGGAAACTTGAAGGTGAGGTAGTCACCGGCGGCCACGAACTCTTCTGGCGTGATCTGTCCTGTGTTGCGAAATGTCGAGGTATGGCTGACAGGCGTGTACTTGTCGAGAAAAGTGGCCGCAGTTGATCTGAGGAAGTTCATCTTGAAATCCGTCGAATCGATACAAGATGATGTGTTGTCGCAGGTGAATCGATGGACGGGGAGGTTGATGGCGACTTGGACTACTGGAGGCCCTCTTGAGTGTAAAGATGTTTGGTGTAGGTTGCTAAATGGTTATGGGGGGGCAGGTGAAAGGTAGGGTGGGGTATGTCTTCGTCGCTTGCACTGGCGGTCGCGATAAGCTTGAACTCGATCGGTGCTAAGGGGTGATTTTGTTTGACGGTTGTGCGATGGAACAAAGAGAGAAAAGGATGAAATTTGATCGGATAAGTCGAGAATGGAGCACACTACAGTATACCAAACAGATGCCCGTGACGCGAACGACACAAGCAGCACTTGCAGAATGAGGCTGCCACCGACACCCAACGTCAAGTGACGAACACTGGGGAAGCCCGTGATAGTGACTGGGCAGGGGTATGATATGGATGACGGGATGGCGCCAAGCTTGCGCAACACGCCCGTGTCCTGGCTGTCGCTGTTCAATGAGGTCGGGTGCCTGGAGTGAAGGTGCGGGGCCTGTCCGATAAAGCGCGGCGTTCACCCAGCGGTCTGCCCTTCCTTGCGAGGGAAACCTTTCAGTGTAGAAAGTGCCTTAGGTACCTCTAGGTGAGGTTACCCATCAAGGTGCAATCTCGTGTATGTAGGTACCTACTCTATCCGTAGGTACCTCTGTACCGGCGAGACCGCCTAGAGGTAGAGGTACCTGTCAATAGAGACTCTGAGGTGGGTACCTCCGCGGGGTCTCAGATGGCTGGATGGATCATGCGGTTCGATGCATCCCGTCCAAGTGGTACGCAGTCCCGTCTCCAGGTACAATATGAAGTTACCTGGGCTACCAAGCGGCCAGCGGGTAAGGGGCATTCATAGGGAGTCAAATGACGGCCTGGTCTTTAATGAATCTCAAATTAGCGGGCCGTCAATCGGGTCCTCACTGCAATGTCCCCCACTGAAGCCTCCGGTATTTCCATTGGTCACGATTGCCAAGGCAAGATGCTGGGAGCTGCGAGACCGTAGGTGGCTGTACCCAGACGCCGTACGACCTTCCTCCTGTTTCTTCTTTACCCGCAGGTGTCATAGCTCACTTCCTGTTGGCCCAAGTGGAAAGGCTGACGACGACGACGGCGCCGACGACGACAAGATTCGTCGCCGCGTGATATTCTCGAGTTCTGCTCATCTATTGCTCAGTTTGGACTGCTCCTCCATCTTTAATTGAAGCACCTACCAAGCCGTGCGCCCCAACCCTCTGCCAGAACGGGTCGCTGTCGCAGTCACAATAACTTGCCAACTGCCAACTCCATCTATACCTAATATAATCATTTCAAAGACACGGCTTCCCTTTGACTGCCCAACATGGCGACCATACGGAGTCTCGATCATACCAAGTGCGTTTGTCCATATCATACTTCCCAAATGGCTAGCGAGGCGCATGTATACTGACCGATACTGCCGCTGCACAGATCCGAAGCCGAACTGGCCATCAACATCCGAAAGGCCACCAGCGCCGAAGAGTCTGCCCCGAAACGCAAGCATGTTCGAAGTTGTATCGTTTACACATGGGACCACAAGTCTTCCCAATCCTTCTGGGCAGGCATGAAGGTTCAGCCTATCATGGCCGACGAGGTCCAGACTTTCAAGGCCCTCATCACCATTCACAAGGTCTTACAGGAGGGCCACCCGGCGACACTGAGAGAGGCCATGGCAAACCGCGGTTGGATTGACAGTCTGAACCGCGGCATGGGCGGCGAAGGTATGCGTGGATATGGGCCCTTGATCAAGGAATACGTTTATTATCTCCTTGCCAAGCTTTCTTTTCACCAACAGCACCCCGAGTTCAACGGCACGTTCGAGTACGAGGAATACATCAGTCTCAAGGCCATCAACGATCCGAACGAGGGTTACGAAACCATTACCGACCTCATGACGCTGCAGGATAAAATTGACCAGTTCCAGAAGCTCATCTTCTCTCACTTCCGGAACGTCGGCAACAACGAGTGCAGGATATCTGCCCTCGTCCCCCTCGTCACCGAAAGCTATGGCATCTACAAGTTCATCACCAGCATGTTGCGCGCCATGCACTCATCTACTGGCGACGCCGAGGCGCTGGAACCGTTGCGCGGAAGATACGATGCCCAGCATTACCGACTGGTCAAGTTTTACTACGAGTGCTCAAACCTCCGCTATCTCACCAGTCTGATCACGATTCCCAAGCTTCCCCAGGATCCGCCCAACCTCCTGGCCGAGGATGAGAACGCACCTGCTTTGCCTGCTCGGCCAAAGCACGAAATCGAAAAGCGCCCGACACCTCCGCCCCCAGCACCGAAATCCGAAGAGCCCGATGACATGGCCGAGTTCTGGAAGAATGAGCTTGACAGACAGAACCGGGAATACGAGGAGCAGCAGCGGGTTTTGGAAGCACAGCAGCAGCAGGCGTTGCTAGCGCAGCAGCAAGCACAACTACAAGCGCAACGTGATTTCGAAGAACAGCAACGGCGGTTGATGGAGCAACAGCAAAGGGAGCAAGAGGCCTTGATGGCCCAGCAGACACAATGGCAGACTCAAGGGCGGCTTGCTGAGCTTGAACAGGAGAATCTGAATGCCCGGGCCCAGTACGAGCGGGATCAACTAATGCTTCAGCAGTACGACCAAAGGGTCAAGGCTCTAGAAAGCGAGTTGCAACAAATCCAGGGTAACTACGGGCAGCAAATAAACAGCCGAGACGACCAAATCCGTGCTCTACAAGAACAACTCAACACTTGGAGGACAAAGTATGAAGCGCTTGCGAAGCTCTATTCCCAGCTTCGCCACGAGCATCTCGATCTCCTCCAAAAGTTCAAGACGGTACAGCTGAAAGCGGCTTCCGCTCAGGAAGCGATTGAGAAGCGGGAGAAGCTTGAGCGTGAGATCAAGACCAAGAACTTGGAGCTGGCAGACATGATTCGTGAGCGCGATCGTGCTCTTCATGAAAAGGACAGGCTGCAAGGCTCGAATAAGGACGAGGTTGAGAAGCTCAAGAGGGAGTTGCGGATGGCCTTGGACCGCGCCGATAATCTGGAGCGCAGCAAGGGCAACGAGCTTTCTACAATGCTTTCCAAGTACAACCGCGAGATGGCCGATCTGGAGGAAGCTTTGCGTATCAAGTCACGAGCACTGGAAGAGGCCCAAGCCAAGCTACGGGATGGAAGCTCGGATCTTGAAGCGCTACTTCGCGAGAAGGAGGAGGAGCTCGAGGTATACAAAGCTGGCATGGACCAGACACTGATCGAGCTCAATGAGCTCAGGAACAACCAGGGTGTCTCCGATTCAGCCCTTGACGGCCAGCTGGACGCTTTGATCCTCTCCCAGCTGGAGAAGGTCAACGAGATTATCGACTCTGTGCTTCAAGCTAGCGTTCAGCGTGTTGATGATGCCATGTATGAGCTCGATTCTGACATGCAAGCCGGAAACCAGAACGCCTCGCCTTCCTATGTCCTCTCGCAGATTGAGAAGGCGTCTGCGAGTGCCACGGAGTTCGCTACCGCTTTCAACGTCTTCATCGCCGATGGTCCCAGCAGCAGTCCGGCGGAGCTGATCAAGAACGCCAACGTTTTCGCTGGCGCCATCGCCGATGTGTGCAGCAACACCAAGGGTCTCGTTCGCCTCGCTACTGACGAGAAGAAGGGAGACTCTTTGATCAACGGTGCTCGTTCATCTGCCCATTCGACAGTCAAGTTCTTCCGCGGTCTGTTGAGCTTCCGCCTTGAGGGCATGGATCCCCTTCAGAAGACCGACGTCGTCATCAACAGCAATAACGACGTCCAGATCAACCTACAAAAGCTGAACAAGCTTGTCGAGACCTTCGCCCCTGGCTTTGGCCAGCTCGCTAACAAGGGTGACCTTGGCGGCATCGTCGATCAAGAACTCAGCAGGGCGGCCGATGCCATTGCTGCTGCCGTTGCCCGTTTGCAGAAGCTCAAGAACAAGCCTCGCGATGGATATACTACCTACGAACTCAAGGTCCACGACTCAATCCTCGATGCCGCCATGGCCATTACTACTGCTATCGCGCAGCTCATCAAGGCTGCCACCGCTACACAGCAGGAGATTGTACAAGCTGGTCGTGGCTCGTCTTCGCGCACCGCCTTCTACAAGAAGAACAACAGATGGACCGAGGGTCTCATTTCCGCCGCCAAGGCTGTTGCTAACTCTACCAGCACTCTCATCGAGACTGCTGACGGTGTTCTTTCCAACCGCAACAGCCCTGAGCAGCTCATCGTTGCATCTAATAATGTTGCGGCCTCCACCGCCCAGCTCGTGGCTGCCAGCCGTGTGAAGGCCGGCTTTATGAGCAAGAACCAGGAGAGCCTGGAAGAGGCCAGCAAGGCTGTCGGTGCCGCCTGCCGTGCGCTCGTCAGACAAGTCCAGAGCATGATCAAGGACCGCAGTGCCGAGGATGAGCAAGTGGACTACAGCAAGCTTGGGTCGCACGAGTTCAAGGTGCGCGAGATGGAGCAACAGGTACGTATTTCCTTCGAGGTTTCCTCCTTCTTTTATTTCCGGTACCCTTGGTCTTGCCTATCATGGTTCATTGCTGACCAAGTCATTCTCTCCCCATCACAGGTCGAAATCCTTCAACTCGAAAACGCATTGAATGCTGCTCGCCACAGACTTGGCGAGATGCGTAAGATTTCGTACCAACAGGACGAGGACTAATTGTCCCGCAACGCATGGGGTTGTTGAGGTAGTATACTCGGTGGCTTCATTCATCTCGCTGGCTTTACGCTTCAATGCGCAGCGTGGGCACATAAATCCGACCAGATCCTCTCCCTCATTCTGTTTTCGTCCCGCAGCGTCTTCCAAAATCTTCATCAGATGTTTTATATCTTAACTACCCCCCCCTGTACCTAGTTCGAATTCCTTTGGGAGTCATCAGGTGTTAGTGTTAAACTCAGTTTCATCCACCTTGTTCTTTTTCATCCACTGAAGTCGTCAATTGGGCGTCGTGACTTCGGCCTCGGATATGTTCCGTTCGCTCTTTGGGAGGGTGTTTGGTAACACAGGCAAACCGCCACTCCCGCTGTCATACTGCTGGCATCCGTCATGTTTCTTTTATGCCGATGTACGTCCCTTTTTGTGGTTTCGATTTTCGCGTTCGCTGCTCGCTGCTCGCTCGATCGGTCGGTCTGCCAGAAAGTTTGCCAGATACATCAAGATTGAGTAGGCGACCAAATTTCATGCTTTGTGCTGCTGAATATCACCCCTTCTTCCGCCTCCGCTTTCCCTTCCCCTCTCGCGTTAGTTCTTCAGCCCTCGGCTGTCCAATCTCCATACATCTTCTTATGCGGCCCATTTCACTCCCTCTCTTCGCTTTTTCGTCGCAGCCCGTTCGTTGTATCGTCATCGGTGGTTGCTTTCGTTCGTGAAGCAAGATTCAGAACGAGAAAATTTCTAGTGGAGGGAGTTCAAGTTCCGTTTTCTTCATTTCGCCTGGTCCAATATTTTGTTTTCTCTTTTTCTTTTCTTTCCCCACGTCAGCCTGAAAGTCTGGACTCTGTTTCCCTCTTGACTTGCATTTCCTAGTTCTTCCCATGCTGGCAGGCCAAGCTAAAGTCGAACTATCACGCTCTCCTGCTTCCTTCCTCTGGTCGGTTGGCGTTCACGTTATGCTATTCAAGTGCTCCTGCGGAGTCGTCGTTGTCGTACCAACCAATAGCTTGGATGACTGGTAAATGGATGTACCGGGCAGCGCCAGGTATTGGATCCGCTGGTGTTTTCTGTGGGCAGACGGTTTTGATGTCCATGAGTAATTTACTCCCGTTCTCGCTCATGGTCCCCCCTCCCTTTACCGCTTTATCTTGGTCCTTTCTTCTTCCATGGATCAATTCGACATCTGATATCCGATATCCTAAACCATACCGTCCTTCGCCTCGTTGTCCTGGAACGCCACTGGTTGTGTTGCTGTTAGAGATATCGGGTGGTTCTTGATGGAAGTCGGATTTGCCGCTGCGTGGAGGTTTGGTTTCGAGGGTGGCGGTTTGCCGGGTGGTTGACGAGGGCGCTTTACGCGAGAGTATGTGGTCTTGAAGGAGGGGTAGGGAATGGACGGAGTCTCCGTGCAAAAATCTTGGAGTTCTGGATAGGCGAGTATTTCAACAGTGACTTCAAGTTCCTAAGTATCTAAACTCACGAAAGCAGGAATTTAGGTTGTGTTTAAAACTCAAAGTGATAAGCATGCTGTATACTTTTGACGGCTGCCAGAGTGCGTATGAATCGCAGTCGTTGAATATATGTAACCTGGATCCAGCTTCCTCTAGCCTTCACGGTAATGGAGAGGAAAATTTAAGATGGGCAGGAAGGAAGAGATCAAGTCAAGGATAGGGCATGGGACCGCCGCATATGTTGAATCTCGATCCCAGGCATACTGGTATGGTCCGCTTGTATACCGCAATGTAAGGCACAGGCCCAAAATTGACACTGATCGAGCATTTGTGTCCCGTCGTCACTCGACAGCGAATAAGAAAGCAGGACAGATGGCTTTGGAAAGGGGGTGTGCACAACCAGTAACAGATTTGGTGAGAATTGCAGCCATTTCTAGTAAGTAGTGATCTGAACATCCCATTACGGAGCCATCTACCTGCGTGAATGTTTTTAACCATTTTCAAAATCCATAGGGCATTCTCGATATTGCAAGTGGTTTGCAATTTACCTCTAGGTATGTGGGTTTACCATTTAGAAAAGTAGATTAATGCTTTCTATCTCATGAGACTTCGTAGGCACAAAGTCCCTTTTCCTCCAAGCACCATGATTTCGTACTGTAGGGCCCAACCCGGGGAATTGACATGGTATTTGAGTAGTTCGAGGCTTGCACAGCTGTCTCGACAATGTCGGACTCTAGGTCCAGCTTTTCTTATGTTTACGGAAAGTGAATACTTGGCAACACAGGCAGACAGGCTTCGTGTATCCAGCATTAATAGACATTGCGAAGATGTAGAAAACACGATTGTGTTGTACATCCGTACCTAGTCACAAACTTCAGTAATAACTCTGTTCCCGATGAGCTCCATGAAAGTAATGCAAAGACCACGACATTTGACAGAACGAAATCACAATTTTGAGCCACTGTGTTTGAGCTTCAAGCATGGGTGCAGTCACACTCAGGGATGTTTGCAAGTCAGCCGATCTTACTAACGCTTCCAAGCCACGGACTAGGCAAGCATATTAGCAAACACTCCGCCTGCGACGCCACTGATTGATATATCACTTTCGACAGTTTGTCAGACACAAGGATCTTCCCAGACTTCCTTGGAAGACTAGATACAACTCAATGATAGCTTTGGTGCTTGGAGAAAAGCCGGATAGTGGCGTTCCATGGCAGCTACGTAAACTTTGGCCTAAGTGACCAGTTATCTATGTCTAATTAAATCGGTCCGTCGATATACTAGGTAAGATGCAAGCATGATATTCTTTCTCAGGCTTGTGGAAAGAAACTAAATGTTCTCAGCCAATTCCCGTCATTTTGTATTATGTCAGAGCTAATATGTAGTACGATCTTTAAAGTTCAGTAATAATGACTAATATATAAAGGAAATAAACGGTGTAGCTGACAGTAAATTCAAAGTAAGAGGCCAAGCTAGAATTTTATCTAACCGAAGACAAAAGTCAAGGTTGTGGTTGAGGTTGTTTGATACGTCCCTAGAAGACCTGAAAGTTTTAGACTGGAATAATGAAACAAACAGTGTATGACTGATCTCGCCTCATCCTCACACCTTTAGTAGTAACTGTATTATAGTAAGTTACGATCGCTTTTATGGTTCCATTTCTTCTTTTCAGGCTGTGCTATCGTGTTGAATCTCAATACGGGAAATATAAATGTCATACTAAACTTATCCACTAGAGAACTCCCTTGAAGCATATGTGATGGCACATCAAAACACCAATTACGGTAACTGATAATGTCAAGTGACTTAACAGCGCGTTATAAGTTACTGGTACAGGATCTGATTTATAGCGTGGAATTCTGCAACACTACAAGTGTATTCCTTGTAATGCTAGTCGCCTTGGCGCTGTCATTCCCACACTCAAACACCTGTGCAGTCTTGGCGGATGTGTGCGAATGCATACACACACGACTTTTTGGCAAGACGGACCATCGATGAGATTTTATTTGCTTATATCTCTACTAAACGAAGAGATAAAAGAAAACGAACTCAAGATTTAGAATTAGCGCACTTGAGACTATTAAGATAATAGTCTTCTCTATAGGATAATTGAATTTCTTCATCTTCGTCTTTCGTTTCGATGGTCCGTTTTGCCAAAAAGTCGTGTGTGTGTGCATTCGCACACATCCGCCAAGACTGCACAGGTGTTTGAGTGTGGGAACATATACAGACACACCTGGCAGTGAAGATGCTGAGGGCACACATGCAAATGGAATGCAAGGGAGCTGAGAAGAAAAAAACAAAGCGTGAAACAAACATGTGTTATCAGTGATCAGAAGCGGAAGGGGATAGCAAACGACGGCAACGGTTAGAAACACATGATATTAGAATTCGGTTCTTCCCTCCTGACCATGAAACTTTTCGACTACCAGCAGACCATTTGAGATCCTCCCTTGCCTTGAAGACCGATCAACCGATGCAGCACCTTCTCACGCGCAGCTTTTCCAGTCGCATAAGTGTACTGCGTGTTGTGTGTCCGTTTTCTACGGAGCAAACATCAAGGCGGCAGTAAAGTCGCCTCAAGCGTATCTCGGCATTTCCTACGCCAGACGCCAATGTAAAGGATCGGAAGAGTCGACTTTCAACTTCACACGATCAGAGATAGCTGAGGTGTCTGGCGGTAAAGTTAAGAGTGGTGCACTTCCTCTCGAGCAGAACCCATTTGTTATGCTCACTTGAACAAAGGTATTAGCAGGGATCGAGATGTGTAGACATGGAAACTATCTACTAGTAGGCTTGTCCGTTCCACATATTCTGCGGAGTTTTCGGGTACATGCCTGCATGTAGAATTTCTTGGAGAGGTAGCCCACTGGGACCGATGCAGATCCCCCAGAAACCGCAAGTTAGGCAACTTTGGCAGATCCACAAATGAAGGGCACAGCTTCTACTGTAGGTGCACTACATAGATGGAACCGCGCTGGTGTGAGGCTGCATCTCTTTAAGCGTGTTTTGCACCATTACAGAAAAGAGTCGGAATACCCAAGCTCTTAGCAGCTAGTGGCCATTTCAGGGGGATTATAGCGTTCCTCCAGATGCACAGAAAGTAGCCTGAAGTAGCCAATGGGTTGTATTCTGGGTTTTACGAGACATTATTGGGCTACAAACCCCTGTCGGAAAAAGATTAGCGCAAAACACGCTTAAAGAGATGCATAAGCGTTGGCGTCAGCGGCGGCCATGGCTTCATCTCGACGACATGTCAAATCCGGCAATGACACCGCAGACGCTTGCGTTCATATTGATTGACTAGTGAAGGCCATCCCGGATCAGATGGTGGACGCCGCTGATTTGATTTTATTTGATACTCTTTCGCCTTCTAGGCGGGTACCTGTCTCCTTGCCGTGTAATTGCCCATTCCACCCCGTTCGATTCTGAAGTCTCATGATTTGCCCCAAATGTATGCACAAAGAAACCTAACTAGACCCTTTTCGCCCTCGCTTTGTATGCCCGTAACACGAAATCCAGATGTGACAAAGGAAAGGAAATGGTGACTGCGCCGTGCTTCTATGCTCCTCCGTTAAATCCTGTTAATCGGTTAGCACACGGGTAAAGTTATGCGACATGGTACCTCATCTTCCACTAACCCATCATGGGAACATCGATAGCCAGAGCCATGTTGTAAGGGTCATTGCTGGAGGCGTGTCCATTCTCGAGGATTGAATCCAACAAGGTCTCAAACTGAGTTGAGTATCCAGACTCGGTACCGAATTCTCCCTGCTGAATCCAATGGGAGAGAGGAAGATTGATGATGCCATCTACCTCTACAGCGACCGTGTGATTGCGAGGGAACATCGCCGAAACTCCAACTTCAGATTCATCAGTTTGACCGGCGTGTCCCTGCTGACGGTGAGGACGCTTGTTGAACCAGATCATGTCGTAGCTAGGATCTGAAAGCTTGGCGATGACAGAGTGAGGATTGGCAAGAGGCAATCCGCTCTCGAGGCACTTGGTGAGCAGGCATAAGCCGTTCATGGGCTGGAGATTGTGCTGAACCAAAGGAAGAGCCGTGCGCTCGAGGTCGTGAGTGCCGTTGGGAAAACGGACGAGGTTCCAGCCAAACGATGCCATGTAGTTGTCGCGGATAATCACTCCCAGATGGCCGACAGCATAGTGAATCCAGAGTTGCAGAGTAACCTTCTCCTGCTCAAGGTAGGTCCGGATTGACGAATACACCGAGCACATGAAATCCCACTCATTGTGGAAGGGATCATGCTGCCAGAGAATGGTCATGAAGGGCGATCTCTCCTTTTGCGGGAGCTGAGAGAAGAGCGGGGAATAGTACGCTAAAATGGAAGAGCAATCAGCCATGGATCAACAACAATGTTGATTCAGATTTGACTCACATCTGAAACCCATGAAGCCGTTGACCTTCTTCTTTGCCGCGGGGATTCGGCGAACAGGTTCGGTACGCATCATCGTTGAGAAAGCTCTCATTGCCGCTTCACGGTCGTCCTCAGCGAGGTCGGCGAACGTCTTGACGATTTGATCGACACCCGACATCGTGTTTCTGGTGGATGAATTATTAATTGGAGAGCACTGAACACGCGAGGAAGTGCTGCCGAGATTTTGGTTGCGAAGTTGATGTTCGGGGAATGATGGTGGGAAGTTTGGGTGAAGGTGGAAAAGATGAACTGGGCTTTCTTAAATAGGAGACATGGGGTTGGTTGGTTAATTTGGGTGGAGCGGCTTCTCTCTCCCTTCACTTGACGACCGCGGGGGGGAGAGGAGGGGGGGGGGCTTGCTGCCTTGGGGGCACAACTTTCAGCGAGGGCTTGGATTACATAACACATAGCAGCTTTGTGAACTTCTAAGAGAAAAGTAACCAATCTGATCGAATAATACTTTGCTTGAATTAAAACTAGCATTGTTTGTACGAGCCACGGATTCTACCATATCCATCAAATGTAATAGATGTGCTCCTCTTGCTGCACACCGTCGCGCGGGTCGAAGTTATCAGCAAGCTCCAAACCCTCCCCCCAAAGTGCGGGTCGAGTGAAAACATGGGAGAGAATGCTAAGTTGGCGCTCCTGACTGTAGTCAACGGGGATCTGTTGATCGGTTGTTAGCACATCATCATCCGTGAATAGTAAGCAGGATCATACGAACCTGGCGTAAGCCTTCATGATGAAACACAATCTCAGGTTGTCCTTCTACAACATAACCAGGAAATGATGTTGTCATGGCAAAGTCCAACTTCCTGAGGAGAGCCTGCCGTGATGTCAGTGATGATTACCTACATTGAATCGAGATAGGAGAACTTACTTCTTGCTGAATGGACGTCGGTGCTGGCGGCTGGACATGTCCATTCTACCTTCGGTCAGTCGTGCAAATTTTGTAGTTTTCAGACACGTTCAAGTACTTACCTCTGTGTGAATCGTAGCGACTCTCTGATGCTCGCTGCTGATTTCGTCCAAAATGAATTCAGCAGTTTCCGGAATAACCACAAAGAACTTCCGAGGACCGACTCGGTAACTGTCGACGGCCGCATCATCATCGAAGAGGCGAAGTTGCTTGTCGTCGCCAACTTCAAGATTGCCAAAGAACTTGTGCCATGGGGTGCCTGGAACGCGCCTCAAAGGATGGAGGGTATGGTCGACATGCCAGTTTCTTCCTCCCGCCTGCCCCACGATCTCTTGCTTCGACCTGTGCAAAAGATGTCCATTCAGTACGTACACATCTTTTCCGTAGACCAAGCCAAAGTCCTTTCCCGGAACCTCCTGAGCATCTTTGTGAAGTGTAAGTGAGCGAAGGAGGCGGAACGCAAACTGCTGGCCTTTGTAGGCAGCTTGTTGGAGTCTTTGATCTCCACCTGATGGCAATCCTCGATTCTTCTCAAGAAATGAGAGGAAGTTAAGAATTGTGTTTGTCGACTCAATGATGCAGCATGATGCCTTGATGATTCTTCTCTCGTCGCTAGACCCGAACTCGTTGCTAGACCCGAACCAGCTTTGGCGATACTTTGTTCTCGTTGAGCATAGCAAGAGCTTGGCTTCATGGAAAAGACACCGAAGGTTCTCTTCGAACTCCTTGATTGCCTCTGAAAGAACTGAACGGGAAAGCCTAGCCTGTAGCTGATGGAGTTTCTGACCAATCCATTAGTGACAAGCAAGCGAGTGTTTCTGGGTCAGAAGAATTGCTACCTTGTACATCACTTCGAGATCCTGGCCTTCCTGGCTAGAGGCACGGTTTTCTTCGAACATAGCTGGTTGCTCTGACCTTCTAGGTTGCATGTTGAGATGATTCATGTCGACAGCTGACGAAAAGGAAACCTCAACAGTGAGCGCTTGAGAAAGCTGCCATGCGACTACTAAGTATGGAGAGAAGTTTTGTTGACACGGAGTTTCGAAGAAGTGAACCAACAAAGACACAGGGTTCCAAAATATCTTTCGAGGGACATTGCCTGCCAGGTTTCCAATCCAGGTCCTTCCTATTGTTCTCCTGTGAAACTTGAGGTGGAGATCACTTGACGAGAGGGGCACTGCATGCTGAGATTCATCCCAAGTTATTCCTATTGTTCTCCTGTGAGAATCGGCCAAGGTCACTTGCCGATTTGAGGGGCATCGTATGCCAAATTTCATCCCAAGTCCTTCCTATTGTTCTCCCGGCCAACCTTAGGGCAAACGTCAATTTGACCAATCACATAGGGTGCGCAGCTGGCAAGCCACAGAAACAATAGCAAAATGCGTACCCTTCCCCGCGAACAATAGGAGGACGAGGTGCGGGAGGTATTGGGCCTTTCCTGCCATTCACCTTGACATTAACCCACGCAGAGCAGATTGTCGTATCACCTACAAATACCGGCTCAAATTCTCGCAAATACCCCCTCTTCCTTCCTCCAAACTCAACACTCGACAATTCCGTTTTCCACCAACTACCGGTCCTCGTTGTCATTCATCTTCATATACGTCGATCTTCTTACACTTCGTCTGTCCCATCCATTCCATAACCACATCCAAGCACACCTGTAGTCGCCGTCTGCACCCCGCTATCACAATGTCTGCCTTAGACGTTGATGCAATCAGCGACATCACACCCGGTCTCAGCCCTGTGACTGCAATTCACTATGGCAGGATCCAGGTAATGCTGTTCAGGTCCCATCTGGCCGAATTTGCTGAAGAGGATCTTGTCTATGCGATGGACAACTCAGTGTGAGTGTTGGCCCGAGGAAAGTTTCTCTTATAGCTCATAGCTGACTCCTTTCAGTGTCGTGTTTGGCGAAGAGGCCTTGCTCATGGTTGCCCCCGATGAGTCCAGCATCGCGATCTGCACGTATCCAGTTGGGCTCATGATGATGGAATGGGGAAACTGGGACATACTCGCAGTTTCGCCCCCTTGTAAGTTCACCAAACATTGGGCCCCCATTACTCAAGCTAACCAGACATTCCAGCACAAACTCCCACCATTCCAAGCGAGAGCGTCTTGGGCATCTCGAACCTAGGAGGTGCTAATGTTGAGCAGCAAGAGCAAAGCTCTCATACCATCGACATGACTCTGCCCAACAACTTTTTTGAACAGAGTTCGGTAACTCAAAGCAATGGTACTAGCCGCCCGCGCAACCAATTCGTTCTCTACTACCAATGGCTGTTGGATACTCTGTTCTCCGAAGATCCGAGTCTTTCAGCTCGCAATATTTGTATGTGAACAAACCCTCCTGTCCTGCATGACATTTATTAACCATATCTTACAGCTCAAATTGTTGCGGGCTTGTGGAACAGCGAGCACCCCGCGGCAAAAGCTCGCTTCAGGGAGCTGGCGGAAATGGAGGTTCAGCGTCACCGAGCTGAGAATCCTCACCTTTACCCCGACCAGCCGCGATTTCCCACCACCGATCCCGTTCCTCCTCGCATGAGATATCCTTGCGTAATCTCGCCCGAAGATCGGCAACGAATTCTGCGGATGCTCGACTTTGTCTGGGAAGAGTCGAACGGCCAGTTGGCTGCCGAAGAAGCCGCACTTAACGATGTTGTTCAACCTCAACAAGCCGAGGAGGTCGGCCCTTTCCCCGACTTCGAGTGGGAGGAGCCTAACCACATTATCGACATGTCGACCGACCTGTCCGTGGCCCAGGACCCGGACTTCATGATGACTGAGGACGACTCCATGCGATTCCTTTTCAGGCAGGCGTGCTGATTCTTTACTCACGCTTGCGACTACATTGATCGAGACCATGTCTCATTCACTACCGCTGTCCCACATTCACGGACTAACGCTCGTACTCGCCGACTTCGCATTTGGAGAGCCGGCAACACTTGATCAACAACCAAGACATCACAGATAAGTCGATGGTTCTCTTGTTAATCCTTCGTCAATCCTACGAGTAGGGAGTACCGTCCTCAAATCACAGCACACTAGGGCGTGCTCGCCGGCAGTGGACAGCTTTATTCTCTTGACACATTCCATCAGTGCAGTTCAGCATCAGTTTCAGTCTTGGTCCGTCTGTTCTATCAGCCATTTCAAATCAGCAGCTGGATCTCAGTCTTGACATCACCGCAGAGTCACTTGCCTCACCTTCTCGGATTTGGCTTCCAGACTCCTGCATACGACGACAAGACTTTGACACCGGCATGGATACAGCAAGCAACAACGGTCTCGGTTTCTTTTTCTCATGGTTCGCATTTCCTTATTTGTTCTTTGTCAGAGTCACAGCAAGCACACATCTTCCTCGACAGTCGGCGCTGTCTCATCGGCACTAACTCATCCATACTTTGGGCGTCAGTTTTCTTCTTCGTCATCTCACCGTTCACGGTAAAGGGATCTTAGCAGAAGGGAAAAATGGGCGGTGCGACATATGCACTGGGTCGGTCAGAGGGGACTTAACAGTCGACAGTCTTTTTTTCCAGGAGGAAGCAGCATGGTGCACATCTCATTTGCATCTCGGTTCGGTTCGGTAAAAGGTATCTCAGGGTACTACACAAGTCACATGGCGGAGGGCATAATAGGTCGGCTTTAGTCTTTTTCTTCGCATTAGGGAGGGACAGGTCTGGTTTGCTTTTGCATGGCGCAAGGTCAGTGATATCCAAGGGGGTCGGTTTCTGGTCTCATTCTATGGTTTCTTTTCCTTTGTTGCTAGCATATCGGAGCGTGGGGTGACTGGCGCATCATGGTACGTTCATCAAAGTCTCCGGAGCCTATTTCGCTCGTCTACAAGGGAGCACAGGTAGATTACTTAGAAAAAAAAAGCATTTAAAAGAAAACCAACTTCTTCGTTCGTATGCCTCTGTGACATTCATTCGCTTGACAACGTCTGCTTTGCTTACTTGTCTCCGCTGTGCTACAAACTGTCTTGTTTTTCCGGCGGTTGGCTTCGCTGCTTTGTCTGCTTCCCACGTCGTGCGGTAAGGGGACCAAGTGAGACGTCAAGCATTCCGGAGTATCACCAGTAGAGGACCCCGGCCCATCCCGCAACTACAAAACGTGAGACAGCTGAGTAGCTGTGGAAAAGCAGAGGGACATTGACTTTGGGATGATTCGATTATGTGTTATCACGAAATATACAAGCGCAATAAATCACCAGCAGAATCAAAGACTGAAGCTTGGTGTATCCCTCATTATCATCATTTGCATCGCCTCCACCGCAATTTCCCCCATTAATGCGTCCTCTCTTGACCACGGGCGCCTCTGCCATGTCAATAGTAGCCTCCCTTCTGTTACTTCGGGCGGGAAGAAGGTTTGCGCCGCCTCAGCCGACGAAAGCATCTCACCCAAGATCGCCTTGCCATTGCAATGTTATCCAATACAAGCCAAGACCACCTACTGCCGCCCACTCCAGTCACTGCTCCATATGAACGTCTTGCATCGGAACTCCGTGCCCGTCTCCTTGTTGCCAGACGGCCCGAGGGGTCGAGCACACATGTAGAAGGATCTGCCTGTAACAAGATGCGAATCAAGGAGTGTCAGCGTGAGGTCATCAGACTGTTTCAGGAGGAGGGGAGAGGGGGGTGGGAGAAAGGAGGGCAAGCAAAAGAAACAGGCGGAAAACAACAGCACCACCTACCACAGTTGATCCCCGGCTTCTTGGTCACTAAGCTCTGGCAATCCTCGCCGTGCTCACACTTCGGAACGACCCTCTTACCCAGCAGCTTAGACCATGACTCTCTGTTCTGGATGGGGTCGAAGATTGTTTTTCCTTTGCCTTCGTCCTCCATGACAGTGCTGTTTTCTCCATATGGTGTCGGGTTGGTCTTGTGTTCGACAGCGTGTTCGTCCCGTTCTTCGAAATTGTCGACTTCGAAGGATTGCTTTGGTTGGCTTCCTTTCGCTGTAAATGGTTCGTTTCGCAATGCTGTTTCGGCTGTCGTTGCGGGAGAGTGGTTGTTTCCATTTATTGGCCCATGTCGTTCGTCTGGGTTGACGGTAGGAGTTGGAGTCTTCGCTTTGAAAAAGCCCATGAGTGTACTTTGCGATGGGCCTGGCCCAGTTTTCGAGGATGGCTGCTTGGCGAGGGCAGCCTTGGCTTTCTTCGGTGGCCTGATATACGGCGCAGGCTGCTCAGCTCGTCGTTTTGGAACGGGGGATGTTTGCGACAATGCTGGCTCGGTTGCAGCTGACTGAGATAACCACTGCTTAGGCGATGATGCGAAGCTGGCGGTCTCCTGTAGTACAGTAGTGGCATTCACCGTGATGGAAGATGTGTTGGGAGAATCGGGAATTTCTTGGCTGTCGGCTGCTGGGGTGGCTGACTTGGGCGTGTTGGACGGCGTTTTCTTCTTGAAAAACATGTCCTTGATGCTCTGCCGTCGATCAAACTCTGGAATGAGCTTGGCGGAGGTAGGCAGACAATCCTTCTGAGACCATTCACGTTGGCGTTGGCCATTCTTGAACATGCCTTCCGGATTCATTATGTCTGTGATTGGAATGATGACACCATCTCTGGAGACACTGTCGCTAATGGTGGCATAGACGGGGCAGTGGTCTGATCCTAGCAGGCCTTCTTGGATGTTGGCGTCGACAAACCAGTCCTTGATTCCGGAGCTACACAGAACATAATCAATCCGACTACCAAAGTTTCCCGGCCTCGCGTTCTTCCTCGTTTCCCAGCACGTGTACATGCCTGGACGCTTTGGATGGAACTCTCTGCAGAGATCCCACAGCACAGGTTTCTCTCGCCCTTCGTCTGGCTCACCAATCACTCGGCCACCGAAAACAATTTGGTTCAAGAACCGGCGCGAAGGGGTCGAGATGAACTGGTCGAGTGTCATGGCCTCCTTTTTCAGCTGTTCTGGTAGACCGGCGGTATCCATCTCGTTTCGGATGATGTTGAGGTCGCCGCAGAGGAACACCTCTTTCCCCATGGAGACAAGGTTACGAACTCTGGCATCCATGGCGTCGATGAAGGCCTGACGGAACTCGATCCTGGTCTCGTCTCGCGTGGCCGGGCTGTATACACCGATAAGAACAAAGGCAGGGAACTCCAAGATGACACACCTTCCTTCGGAGTCAAGTTGAGCTTCGTCTATGTCGCTGGAGAGTTGGCCGGGAGTGGGATAGCCACCAATCTGCTGATCAGCAGGTAAGTCGCGAAACTTTGTGGACGAGTTCGGCGGACACAGAACGCCAGTAATGCCTTCTTCGGCGCGTATCGGGCAGCATTTCGAGGAACGAGTGTAGATTGCAACTCCCGAGTAGCCCTTCTTGTACGTGGGTAAATTGAAGTACACATCCCAGCCAGGGACGAGGACCATGTCGTCTCTCAAGTCCTTCCGCTGAATCTTGGTTTCCTGTATGACCACAATGTCGGCTTCCAAGGTGTCGAACATAGCCTTCACTGTGTTAGAGCATCCGGCCAGATAGTGCCTTTGAATAGGGAACTTGATCCCACCTGAAACGTGCGGTTCTCCCGCCATGGCTGGTAACTGAATGGGTTTCTTGAAGCAGGGTCAGAGCTGGTTCATAGGGACGGCTTGTCGTGTTATGACCGACCTGATACCATTGACTACACGTTGGTTTGAGTTAGACCAGGCAAAATACAGCAAAAAAACACGCAAGAGGATCTCACCATTCCACGTCGTGATCCGTAACCCCATTTTCAGATATTCCTTTAATGATGCTAAGGTAGCTCTCTAGATCTACCAGGTTTATGGCCACAACAAAGTCACTTTGGTCGCCGGATGCGGCGCTTGTAATTGCAATGGCCACACGAGAAGCAGAGGGACATGGGCTGACGTCTTCGATGTTCGGCTTCGCATGAGCAAGAGCTTCAGGTCTCGGGAACAATTGATCTTTCCCTCACGTCGCTACATGGATCGATATTCCCAGTCTCTTGGAGTTTGCCACACCTTGAGTAAACGCGGCAAACGACCAACGATGTCACTAGCTGCCAAGCCATCGCCAAGTAGTGTAGTTCGCGGCGTCCACAAACGAACGATTGGCTCGTGCGGTTGAATTACGCAGGTGAACGGGGCGGTCCACACACGAAGTCACCTGACAGGCAGCTGCTTTCGTCATTCCGACTGCTCGCGCAACTCAAACTTTCAACGGGAACGTGCACTTGGCAATGTGGCTTGATTTTGACCACCCTTGCACTCCAGCCACACCCCATGAGCAGCCGCAACCCACGCACCCACCCACCCGAGGTCGAACTGAGCAATGAGCTGATCGGTCTCTGACCTCACTCAGTTCGCACCCGGAGTCACGAGAAGCCGCCAAGCGCAGGAGGAAAAGAGTGGGGCCAGCTTGCTACAACCTTTGCTGCTGATTCCGCATCCACCTCGTTACCACTCCTCCTCCGAACCACCTGTAGTCGACCACAACGAATACGGAAACCATGTTCGCCCAACGCCAGATGTTCTTCGCGCGCCTCGCCGCCAACCTTCGCGCCCCGGCGGTCCGCCAGACCGTCCAGCGCCGCTTCGCCAGCACCCCTGCCAACGAGTCCGGCAAGAACGCCTTCGTCCGCGAGCGTGAGGCCGTCAAGCAGCACGCCGCTGAGACCACCGGTGCGCCCTAATCCACCACCCGCCCTTGTCAATTGCCGACCCCGATTATCGATGGACGGGAAATGCTAACCGGGAGTCACCATCTAGAGCTCTGGCGCAAGATCTCTCTCTAGTATGCGCATTTCCTCCCACTCCCCCAGATCCCCGCTGCGTGGTTTTTCCCGGATGGACCCCCCCGACTCTGAAGGAACTGGAGCTTCCAGCTGGCTCGAATAAAGCTCCATCGAGCTCCGATCGAAGCCCGCCTTCAACGACGAGCGCATGACACCAACGTCATAGCCGACGTGCACCGCCGAGAAGACGAAGGGGATCAACAGTCAACATCTACGGAATGCTTGATTGAGTGAGGGACAGAAAAGGGGAATGGAACACAATAAGCTAACGAAACTTACCTTTTTCCCCAGCGGCATCCCCCCTGCCCTTGCCCTCGCCGGATACAACGCCTACACCCTCTACAACGAGCATTGGGAGCACTGGTCCCACCTCCCTCCCCTTGAGGAGCGCACCGAGTACCCCTACCAGAACATCCGCACCCGCAACTACCCCTGGGGCGATGGTGACAAGACTCTCTTGTACGTTTAACCCATCCGAAGCTCGCACAACCGAGCTTTTCTGCATGGCCTTTCTGAACGAAGGGGCTTTGAGCGAGCCGAGCCCCATCGAAGGAGCCTCAGTCTATGGCAACAACTACTGACCGACACCAACTCTGTTTAGCTGGAACGAGTCTGTCAACTACCACAACCGCGACAAGGTCACGTAAGTGGCTTGTTGATGCGAGCTTCACAAGCACCATCTGTGCTCTTGCTTGCTAGACTGGCATCATCCCTGGATCATTGGAAAGCAAAGAGAATTGGGACAGCTAGCGTGTAGTGAGAGCAGGTGGCATGGGACTGTGAATGAAGTGTGGAGAGGAAGAACATGATGAGTGCTAGAGGCACCACCACGTCCACTGATCCTCAATCATCATATCAATTTAACTGCATTCTGATATCAGGCTCTGTAATGGGGCGCATTGACATCCATATGACCTTATTCTTGACGGAAGCCCATGTGCAGGACGAAAATAGTGTTCTACTTCTATTGCTGGGGATCTCCATGAGACAAAGTGCAGTCAGCCTTGATAGCTTCCATCCATTTCTACTAGGGGTATAATGACACAAGGCAAGGGGCACACATCCGGGCCATATTCGATAAAATCAAACATCAACCTCTATGGCCGGCGACCATATTTTCCATTCCTCATCAAGTCATTACAACCGAACTGCTCCATAAAAATGTCCGACTGGAGCTTCACTGAGCCCCACCCAACCCATATTATGGCGTACCTGTATCTGTCGACCATACACTAGAATGCTCGCCCGACGAGCTCTGCCTCTTCAAAGCCATATACCGCGCCGCATACTCCTCCGCTCGAGCATGATCCCCCAGCACTTTCATTAGGGTCGCCCTCTTCGCCAACGTCTCGCACTGCTTCTCCAGATCTTCCGCCGCAGAGAAGTGGTTGAACGCACACTCTAGCGCCTCGTGTGCCTTCGTAAAGAGGTCGAGTTTTTTGTTGTTCATCAAGCTCGCCGCCGCGGCGGCCGCCGCTCCTGCTGTTTCTCCCGTCGTCGTCATCGCCTGCCTGGCCTTTGCAGCTTTTCCAGCCTGTCCCATCCTGGCATCCGCCAGGATACTATACAGTATGCCTGTGTTGAAAGCATTTTCCGACTCCATCGAGCGCGGCAGCACTGCTTCTACTAGCTGCACAGCGGCAGTGAACTCGCCCATCGCGTTCAGTATGTTGGCCAGAGCGCCAACCGCCTGCCACAGGAGGGTGAGCAGCCGCGCACGCCACGCAAGGCTCGCCGCGCGCATGGTGATTGAGAACCCCCTTTCCGGTCTGCCCATGCAGTCAAAGAGGTGCGCCTTGACCAGCAGTAGCCGAATACGCAGAGACAAGTCCCGGTGGTCATCACGAAACTTGGCGATCAGCCGCTCGATCTTCTCGTACGCGGCGTCAAAGTCCTTGCGCCGGATCAGTGCCTCGATGTGCAGCGAGTCGATAATGAATACCACATCTGGATCGAGCTCCTCGGAGCCGATCTGCAGCAGCTGCGCAAGCAGCGTCTCGGCCGTGTCGAGATCGTTGTGGTGCAGGTCGCGCCGCAGCTTGACAAGCCCGCGGTAGAGGTGCCAGTACTGGTTAGGCTTGGCGGCGCGGAGCAAGTTCTTGTCGATGCCGTCCTCGAGCTTGGCGAAGGCTTCGTCGTACTTGCCCTTGCCGGCGAGGGTGCCGGCTAGCCGGCAGACCATCTTGAGCTCGTCGTCGAAGCATGCGCTTGGGGCGTGGACGCGCAAAAAGACCTCACTGGTCATGGTGGAGAGGTAGGAGATGCCGAGTCGGTCCCAGAGCGAGGTGGTGACGGATAGTTGCGAGCCGATTAGGCTCTTCATGTTTCTTTCGACGATGATATGCGAACTGCGCACGAGGTGTTCCATGGCGCCGGCAATGCTTTCGCCGTTGGCCATGTTGAGCTTGGCTTCGCTAAGGAGGGCCGAACTCCGGAGCACGAGCATGCCGGTTTCTTTGGCTTTCGCTCGGAGGAAGGCAAGAGCTTCCTTACCGCTCCCGATCATGCTGTTGGCCTCGAGATCTTGGACGAGATCTGGGTGTGCCCGGCCAAAATGATAGAACCAGTTGAGACAGAAGTTGAGACAAGTGTTGTCCTTGTTCTCTCGAGCGGTGGAGATGGTCTCCAGCATGGTTGCCATTGCCTCCTTATGGCAGCCAAAGTCCGACTGTACGATTGCCAGGTTCATGAGGGCGTAGTGGTAGAAAAGACGGTCGCGGTTTTGCATGGTGTAGTCGAAGTATCTGTGCAGGTAGTCAAACGCTGATGGATAATCACCGGATCTCCAAGCATCTGAGAAGCTGTAGACGTCAACATCCTTTCGCAAGCTGCCAGTTTTTCGTTCTTTCTTTTTTTTTCTTTTGAAAGGGGAGGATAGTGGAGGCTTACTTGAGATAATGGGACAGACTGGGAACGACGTGGCTGTCTCTTAACATGGCGTGGAACTTGGCCTTGATTTCCGCGGGCACTCTTGCGCCATACTCTGCTTGTTATTAGAAGGGTCATCTCCACGCTGGTGACGAAGGGATAACATACTCTGTATCTGATCGATCTGGAACTCAAGGAGGCTTTCGATGTCGTCTGTGCTGACCGGTAGCGCGCCGTCTTCTTCATCCATGAGCATGCCACCGTATGCCGTCACAGCAATTCCATCCGTGAAAGATCCCCATTCATGCTGGCTCTCCATCAATACCGAGTCGAAACTGAGTCTCCCGCACTGAGGATTCCGTCTCCTCCAGTAAGAAACCGTAGGCTGGCGGTACTTGACGAACGCCTTCCATAGCTCCGCCGAGTGATGAAACTGCAGCCTCGTGAACTCCAACACCGCCTTCCTTACGAAAGCTCCCAAGGGCGAGTTCCGCGCCAAAAGTATCCCGGACGGCAGTTCCTCTCCAAGCTCTGTCATCCGACGCAGCTCCTCTCTAGTTCGCGCCAACACTCGTGGCTGACGGGAGAAGAATGTTTGCAATGCATCGAGAGAATCGATGCCCCACAGCTTCTCTAAAAACCTGTCCCACAGACGACGGCCGGGCAGCCGATCGGCCGCCGGAAAGGGAAGCAAGAGGTCCTCGAAATCTTTGATGGAAACGACCAATCCGATGCTACGCTCAGCTCTCTGCCACCGGTTTGCTGCGCTTGGCGTAGTTGTCATCGTGCTTTGCAAATCGCTGTCGAGGATGTGAGAGGTGAGGAAGCTCAGGACCGGAATGATCGCGTCGTTAGGTACCGTTTCTTCGACATAAAGCTCAATCAGAGCTAGTAGGCCAATCTTGGCCGGCGTGAGATAGCGTGCCATGATCGAAATGTGAGAGACAATGGATGAGAAGGATGATGGGCGCCGTGCCTCACCATGGGTAGATAATCGAGGAGGAATAGACAAAACCGAGAAAGTGGTGTTAGTCTCGCAAAGAAAAGTGGTATTGAAAAACTAACTATCGAGTGTTTTGTTGTATCGCAAGTGAAGGTTAGAGTTAGATTGTGAGGGCCGGCAAGGCAGATAGATGAATGAAGGACGTGCGATTCGAGGGTGACGGAGAAGGAGCGACGTGGTTTGGTTTTCAATGTAGATCGCGCAAACGAATCATAAACAGATCAAATGAGCAGAATTTCGCACATGCTATTCCATCCCACCTTCACATGCCATTAACAAAGAAAAGACCAGTTTGTTTTGTGTTTGCTGTTCAGTCGGAAATCGCGAGGGATGTACGTACATAAACATTCTGCTTCGGCCAGGCGGGGATGGTTAAGGTGTGAGAAAGTACTTACCCTAACCCTCCTACCCCCCTTTCCTCTCACCACCACGCATGTGAAAACGAGTGCAAAAGTCTACAGGAAATTCATACCCGTCTAGCGTCAGTTCCTCTTTTATTTCAGGCAGCTTTAACGCTTGGATGATGTTCGTAGGGTCTTGTCTCGCACTTTCATGCCCCTGTTCACTTCTGTTCCGTGGTGCCCTTCTGCAGGTTTAGCAGTCAGCAGGCCAAGCCATACTAAACTAAATAATTTGGGCATGGAAATTCCCAGCATTTGTTGGGTCTGGCTTTACATGGCACATTACTGTATCACTCATGATACGGTTTACATTCAGTGCTTGAGATGGTCAACGGCCGCTCAATACCTCCAGAGACTTTGACAGGACGCCGCAACAGGCATTCACAACACCATTGCTCTCCAACTTTATCTGCGTACACAAACTGTAACCCGGATCAGACTGACAATGAACAAGTCCATAATACCAATCTGCCTGGTTGCACCAATTAACGAACGTGGAGGACATTGCGTCCCGAGTTCGCGAACTACTTCCAACGCTTGTCTGTACCTGATGTCCGCGAATGGTCCCAGTCTGCGTAAAATGCGGCGTAACAAAAGAATGAATATTCCTGCAGCTTGAACCGCTGCGATTCGAGTCCCAACCAAATCCGTATGCTATGACGATCTCCCGAGGTATCTCCTTCTATCAAATGCGCATGCTGGAGCTCACTCGTGGTCTGTCCTTCGGCTTAGAAATGTCGGCCTAGTCCCGAGACTGTTCGACAAGGCGCTGAACCACCCATCGCCAATATCGAAACCGCCTCGCCCTCTCTCAGGCGCTGAAGCCGCAGCCCTTCCTTGTTCAACATCAGTGTTCCTCGCTGGGGACTCGGATCTGAACATGTTGTCTCCGGACCCAGAAGCCTGACCGCCATCCTCCTCCTCACTATCATCATCGCGGTATGGCTCGTAGCGCGGGGTAGACGAAGACCCTCGTGCCAAAGACCTAACAACATCGCCTTTACAGATAGGGCATGTGCGGCGCCTAGTGGTGAGCCAAGGCGTTCTGTTGTATTGTCAGCATGCTGACAATTCTGAATGTTCAGGGGCATTGGGGGATGTCACTTACATGCATTCCGCATGGAACTCATGACCGCAGGGCAAACTCATTACCCTGCTAACTCCATCCACGTATTCCTCCAAGCAAATGGCACACTCCCTCTGCCGTCCCATGTACTTCTTCCACTGGCTAGCGCGAGTGGTTCCCTTCTCGTGAGCCGGCACCCTCGCCGCTTGCAGGGCACTATCTACCCTCAACAAGTCCGCGGGTTCAGGGACTCCTGTCGTTGTACGAGACCTTGGTCGAGATCTAGATGGCCCTTGGAGTAACGGAGTCGTAGGAGTTGAGGCACCGCTGGGAGATGGCACCCTCGACGATTGACTTGGCGAACGAGGAACAGTATGGTAAGTCCGTACCGGAAGACGTTCCACAACGGATTTCGGGGCTCTCCATCTCCGTCTACGGATTTTGGCGCGTAGTATAAGGAGAGCGTATACAACTGTCAAAGTAATAAGAGGGCTTATTACCAGAACAAGAAGGGTGTCGAAAAACGGACTGGCACCGCTTGTGGGTGTTATAGTAATCCATAGCCCTTCTCGATTTCCCGCCCGGCTAATTGCAGCTGCTGGTGAAGATGATTTCTCGGTGTAGAAAGACGGTATCTCATACGGAGGAAAATCTTCGCCGTCGTCCTCACCAAATATCTTGGACATCAACCCACCCGAGAAACCTGAAGATGAGTCGGAGCTCCGTTGTCCAGACTGCGAGCCTGCTAGGACCTCGCGGTCGTATCGGCCGCTGCCAGGAGTAATGCTGCCTCCTTGCGGTCCGTTCGTATCACTTTGGCTAGTCTTGCCGGGTTGCTTTGAGGAAGCACCGGAGGTACCAGCCCCTTGCTCATCACCAGCGGACTCATCACCACCGTGGCGAACAGATGATGCGCTGTTCTTGGGCGAAGAGGAAGCCAAATCAGGGTCGCGCCAGTCTTGAACTCCAATCTGGAAACCATCTTCAGGATTTCTGCCAGAGTCCGAAGCCAAGGCAGAGTTATCGCCAATGCTCTTGGAAGTCTTGTCAAGACCGGTTTTGATCACTTTATCTTTTTCATCACTCCAGTCGTCCACTATGATCCAATCCAAAGAGCCGCTGCTTGGAGGCCGGCTTTTATCAGTTGCGCTGTCACTGCCAGGGCCCCAATGAAAGAGCCGCGAAATCCAGCTTCTGTGCGAAGGGCTGGATTGAGTACCACTGTCTGACACGCTTCCCTGAGGACCTGTTACCTTGGTCAACTGTCGTTTGGAGTTGGTTTCAGGTGTAGATCTGGCGTGCTTTGCGGACCATTTCGGCGATTTTCTTTTGCTGGTCTTCCCAGAATGCTGGGCGTTTGAAATCGGATAGCCGCTCTCATCGAGAATATCTTGAAGGAAACTTCCTGGTTGCATCAAAGAGGATAAGAGGTGGGCAGTAGTTCTCGAGGTAAAAACAGATGGGATAGTAACGTTATCAACATTACCGCGTGCGGACATTTGAATCAGTGGCCCGCCCTTCTGGTTATCACCAACGATGAGTGCAATCGCTCCACGCCGCTGAGCCCATTTGACCTTTTCGAGGAATCCGCAACCACCTCGGCTCAATAGCACAATCTTGCCAGTTATCTCGGCTGTCTCTTGGATCGACTGGATGTCTGCATGGCCTGAGCTCGAGGTTGCGGGAGTGTCGACGAAAGCATTTTTATCTGTTCGAAATCCTTGGTGTAGATAATCATCCGTCCCATCATCGGCCACCATTTCCACTTCCTGCTTGCTTGAGTGTGTTCTCGAGATGGTCTCGTGATCAACTGCAGAACCGTCTACAATGTTGCTCCCCTTGAACTTTTTGTGAGCGAACGTGGTACTGCCGGTCGTGTCTCTTGTTGGTGATTGTTTCGGCATCTTGATAGACAACCGGCCCGGCGCACCCTCCCACCCCACCAAATCACTACAGCCAAGCTCGCCTTCACCCTGCCCATCTTGGAGATTGTCATCTGTGAACCCACTCCCCGCCCAAAGTTGCCCACTAAGCCCGTCTTTCGGGAGTGGTGGCCCGAATATCGCAGGCCGCGCCGGGAAAAAGGTGCTGTTGTCGTCAAAGAGACTGATGGCTGCATTGGGAGGAAACAGCGTAAACGGAGCTCTAAACGAGAAGAAGGATCGCAACCCGGACGTTTCAGGTGCGAGATGCGAAACTGCTGGGCTCGCGCGGCGAGATGACGCTATAGCACGACAGAAGAGGAACACCGAGGCAGAGAAGAAGAGGACCAGTATGGCAACTCGTGGAGTACGCATCGTGGGATCAGGAGCGGCTGATCACCGCGAGCACCTGATATACGCCGTGAAACGCCTCCTAAAGCTGGCAGCCAAATCAATGTATCAAGTTGGTGGAGCGGGCGTTTCGATGCGCTCTGGAATCTTTAATTATGGGGACCAGCTGCTGCTCGAGCCGTCTGTGGCGGTGGGCCCGATCATTCGTATACACTGCTATGTCGTCGGTGGCTCGAGTTGCGGGGATATGGGCGTTACTCGATTCGGAGGAAGATGATAGACGCTGATTGCCCAGAACGTAAGGGCAAAATTGTCGAGGAAAGGACGGTGAGTTGTAGTTCACGGTATCAAGTCGCAGGGGGGGAAGAAACGAAGAGGGGTTGAAGCTGGGGAGAAGGGGTTGGGAATCAAATAAACTGGAAATCGGAAAGCGAAGTTCACAGATGAGTTTCGTTGGGGGAGCGGGGTGGAGGGGAGCGCACTTCGGGTTGCCAAGTACTGCTGGCAGATGCCCTCGCACCTAACCTGGACAATGGAACTGGCTGGCTTCAAAGGTTGGCAGGAATGGCAGCAGAGAAGGGCTGGGCCTCCATTCCATTTGCGAGGGGACCGAGTTCTGTGCTGTCGGGCTGAAGCTGCCCGCCTGACGTTGTGCTTTGCCGTGCCACGATGTCCCTGGTGGGCACCAACTGGAGCTTACAAGGGTCCAATTTAACCTTAGCAGGCGGATATCACATGGGTTCTCCCCAGATCTCCCACCAAGCTTGCTGTAACCTACCTCTAGTCCTCTTCGAGCAATGCCGCTGTGGGAGCAACCGCTCCTCGTCATCGAGACGAGCACCCAAGGCACTCACTCCACAGCTTCGAAGAGATCACACGGGCCCTTTTGGGTCTGTAAGAATTTCGGGCACACACCTACTGTATGTGAATCGTGTGGATGAAAGAAGGGGAGCCACTGCCCTGATAGATATTTCTTTCTGGAAGACTCAACATGTACATGCGCCGTCACATCTCAGGCTCCGCGCGTTTTTGCGTTCCCGAGTGACATGTGACATATTCTCCATACCTAGCCAGATGTCGGGATGCCCGCTCGAACTTTCTGACACAAGCTCCACAAATTGTTTCTTAAGGATTCCCGGTGTCGAGTCTTCCGGTCTTGCTTAGGCACAGCAACCTCAAAACCTC